GTGTGTGTGTGTGTGTGTGTGTGTGTGTGTGTGTGTGTGTGTGTGGTGTGTGTGTGTGTGTGTGTGTGTGTGTGTGTGTGTGTGTGTGTGTGTGTGTGTGTGTGTGTGTGTGTGTGTGTGTGTGTGTGTGTGTGTGTGTGTGTGTGTGTGTGTGTGTGTGTGTGTGTGTGTTTTTTTCCGGCGAGGACCCTTGAGGAACATCCTGGATCATCGAGCGAAAAGAACACGCACGAAAACGAAAATTGCACGGGAAATGGACGTCCGAGCGACGGCAAGTGACAGACGCGCACCTGGCTGGTGGGCGGCGCTGCGGGCGCAGCTCGCCGCGCGCCCTGGGGCGCCCGAAGCGGCGGGCTAATCAGCTGAATTGGCGGCACCGCCGCTGGCACGGGGGCAGGCCGCGCGCCCGCTGCGCCCCCTTTCCTCCCCCGCCTAGGGTGCGATCGCTGCAAACCGGGCGCTCACCCGTACGCCCTGGCCTCCGGAGAGCAAAAGGTCAGAAAGAGGTCATTGCGTTGTCTCCTTCTTCCATTCTCGTTTCTCCTCCCCCTCCTCCCCTCCCCCCTGCTTGTCCCTTCTCCCCGCCACAGGGCCGTCTGCGCGCTGGCTTGAACAAAAGGTGCTCTGGTCCTCCCTTCTCGCCCCCTCCTCGTGCTCTCCCTCCTGCCTCCGCCTCCCTCCCCTCTCTTTCCTCTGGAGGCGGCCCGGATTAATAGGTCGACCCTGTCAGCTCAAGGGTACCCGTGTGTCCTGTGCCTCGCGACACGTGCCTTCTTACACTCCTATGGCGATGTGGCCTTCGGAAGGGTCGTGTGTCCTCCCGCGCGTCCTGTCCAATCAAGGCCGACTGTAGGCCTCCCAGATGGGGTCGGAGCAGATGGGGTCGGAGGATCGCGCCGCATCGCCGATGCATCGGCGATGCGGCTCGATGTGGAGCCCGTGTTTCCCGACGCCGACGTCGCCGATGCATCGCCGACGTTGCCGATGCATCGCCGATGCGTCGCCGATGCAGCGGCGATGCGGCGCGATCCTCCGACCCCATCTGCTCGGACCCCATCTAGGAGGCCTCCATTTGACCTTCCTCCATTTGACCTTCCGACCTCACCCTCCCCCTCCCCCTCCTCCTCCTCCTCCTCCTCCTCCTCCTCCTCCTCCTCCTCCTCCTCCTCCTCCTCCTCCTCCTCTTGCTACTCATCTTCCTCACCTCCACGGCGAGCCCTGTCCTCTCCTCCTGCGGGCTGTGGCGAGGGGTGTGCGTGTAGGGGGATGGCGCGCTGGCAGCCTGCCCTTCCGGCTCGTGCGCGGCCCCTCTCGGCACGGCAGGCACCCCGAGGAGGAGGGATGCGAAGAGGAGTGGGGAGGAGGAGGAGGAGGAGGAGGAGGAGGAGGAGGAGGAGGAGGAGGAGGAGGAGGAGGGGGTGGAGGAGGAGGAGCAGGAGGGGGATGAGATGGAGGAACGAGGAAGAGGAGGAACGACGAGGAAGGGGCTGTAGGAGGTGGAGGAGGAGGAGGAGGAGGAGGACAAGGAGGTGGGGCGAGGAGGAGCCAGGGCGGGGAACGGATTCACGCCGCATTGATGGACGCAGAGAGGAGGCAGGGAAACGAGGAATGAGGAGTGGGATGGATGCGTGCCTCTCAACAGGAGAAGCGATTGCGCACTTCAGCACGACCACGACCGCGCCGCTTCTGGAGATGGTGGACCTCCCGGGATAGCGACAGACGTTTCGTTTGAGCCGAGCTCCGAATCCACTTGGCCGATCCATACGCTCCTCCTTATCCAGGTTGTTATCTCCCCCCTCTCCCCTGGCTCCCGGTGAACCCTCTCCTCGCATTATTCCCGTGTCCTCCCTCCCCCACCTCCATCTTCCCAACAGTCTTTCCTCCACTTTCGTCTTCCCTCTTCCTTTATCGTTTGTTGCACGATGGAGGCGATCTATATTACCCAGTTCGTTCAGAGGCCATTGAATTAATGCAGATTAAAACAAGGCCGACCTTGCGCCAGCGCGGAGCCAGCATCCCTTATACGACTAAGACCCCGTCAACAGCGGCAGTTGTTGGCAGTAGGGTCTGTATTCATTGGCTTATGCGGCAACCGTGACCGGCAGCGGCAGCGGCGAGATAGACCGACGGAGTCTTCCTGGATGGTCGCGCCTCTGCCAACCCCCGCATAGAGCTGGATAGCGTCTTGCGTGCCAGGAGCACGTCTTGTAGGCGCAGTGGTTTCACTTCCGATGGGTTGGTGCAGGGTAATTACCCTTTCTCCTGTCGCGTGGCTCCACTGTCCGCTCCCCCCCGGGCCATTAAGGAGGCGGAATTCGGAGGCGTCAGAGCCCGTGCTCCGCAGTGCGCAGAAGAGGGCAAGGGGGAGGGGAACCGCATTCCAGGGAGGTCCACCGCCTCTCCGAAGCCCTCCTGCCTTCTGGGGCGCCGTGCCGTACACCTCTGAGAAAATAGTGATCTCTTCTGAGAGCCACTTGGCCTTCTCAGAAGGCCCTCCCCCCTTTCCCTGCGCCGAGTTGCGCCCTGCCGATGTCCGACGCCGCCGACCCCAGGGAGCACCAAAAGGAGAAGAGCCATCGCATCACACTTCATACGCAATCACGATTGCGTGCGACGCTGCACGCGTTCTGAAGGCCGCGTTGGGGCGCTGGGGCTCCCGCCCCCCTCCTCCTCCTCCGCCTCCTCCGCCTCCTCCGCCTCCGCCTCCGCCTCCTTCTCCTCCTTCCCTCTCCTCCTCCTCCTCCTCTCCTCCTCCTCCTCCTCCTCCTCCTCCTCCTCCTCCTCCTCCTCCTCCTCCACCTGCTCCTACCCCTCCCCACTCGTCGATGACTGTCCAGGTTGGTGCCCCGCGGGGCCGTGCCGTGGTGTCAGGGAGGCCCCAGCAGCAGCCGCAGCCCCGCGATGCCCCGCGTGGCCCCTGCGGCGTCCCGTCGTGGTGCCGCGAAACCGACAGGCATGAAGGATTCGCCAGGGATATCGGGGGCGGCCAAAAAGGGGGGTGAGAACTAGGGGTGGGGGGGATATCATGGCGTGGGCCATGATATTTCCCCAGATCTCTTCGCATTGCATTACGTCCCTGCCCCCCCCCCCCGGGCCGCGCACATGACGCCGGCCATTATTTGCGCCCCCCCCTCTTGGACGCTCCCCTCTTGGCCGCCCCCGGGGATACAGATCCGAGGAGCAAGAATGATAATGGTATGTCCAATGACCTCCAAGATTCCCAGGATTCCCCATATTCCTGGATGTTTCGCGCTGGCTGCGCCGCTAGATGCTCCTGGTCATCTTGGTGCGTAATCTGAGCCAATCGCATCATGACATCAGTCTCGCCCTCAGAGAAGGGGGAAGGGTGCGAGGGGGAAAGGAGGAATGGGAGAGGAGACAGGGGAGAGGATGGGGTGGTGGTGCAGGAAGAGCGGGAACATGCCAGGGCAGAACGGGGGGGGGAGACAGGAAGAGGAGAGGGAAGGCCCAAATTGGCTGAGAGGAGGAGGAGGAGGAGGAGAGAAAGCAGCAGCAGGAGGGAGAGCAGAGAAGAAGGAGGGAGGATGGAGCAGAGAGAAAGAGAGAGGGAGATTGAGAGAGGAGGGACAGAGTCTGGGTGGAGGGTAGAGGGGGGGAGGGAGGGAGCATTTTTGTTGATTGCAGGGCCGTCGAAGCATGAAGCTTGTCGACGAGAGTTGGCACCACAACTGGCACATGATCAGGGGAGCTGAAAAGGCTTGCACGGGCGCCAAGGGAGGTTTTGCTGGTTTTGCTTGCAGCGCGAGACGACACACGAGGAGAGACACATCCATCAGTGAGGGGGAGGGCAGCAGCAGGGCCAGAATGGGGCCTTTTGAGGCCAGTCCACCACTACCTGGCGTCGCGTCGGCGGCCGCGAAGGTCGAGAAAACCCCTGGTCACTCTCCAGAGTGCGGCTGAGCCTAAGGGCTCGGGCGAACGAGAGGCAAAAGCTCCCGCCAGATCTGCCAAGTCCCATGCATCTGCCACCTCGGAGATGCCTGCAGTGCAGGCGGCACTCTGCAGGAAAACGCAGGGAGGGAGTAGGGAGGGAGAGAGAGGAGGCGGGATGGGGAGATGTGGGGAGGACGGAGTGGCAAAGCGCATCCAGGTGGAGCCGACGCCTGTCCAGACAGCGCCTTCGGAGGGGCAGTGGAAGAAGTGCACGAACGGGGTGCCCAGCTGCGGCCTGCTGCACGACTCCATGTCCGTCCAGTGGGGCGTCTACAGGCCGGCCGCGTTTCCTCAAAGGGCCCAGGCCTCCGTCGCGTGGGCAAGCGACAACGGTTTTTCCCCATATCCTGAGATGGGGTTCTTGTTATTCCCCATATCCTAAGATTGGGTTCTTGTTCCCCATATCCTAAGATGAGGTTATTGTTATTACTTGGACGCCTCCTCCTCCTCCTCCTCCTCCTCCTCCTCCTACTCCTCCTCCTTCCGCCGCCGGGCCTCCGTCGCATGGACAAGCGACAACGGTTTTTATTTCACTCCGGCCGCCAGAAGTTGCCGCTGCGGGCACTGTGGACGTCGAACAATTGCTTGGGACGGAAATCTCGCCTCGGGTTATGATGTTACAACCTACTTTGGCCTTGATCACCAGAACGAATTTCGAGCATCAAGAAAACACCCCGCAGACTCGCGGGTTTTCACGCGTCGAGCCCTGGGAGACACTCTCTCGACACTCTTTCGACACTCCTTCGACACGTTTCTGGGTGCTCGAACTTCTTTCTGGGACGCGGTCCTTCAAGTACGATGGGAGCAACAGAAGCCTCGGGGCGAGGATCGAGACGGGGCTCCTGCGGCCGCGGGACGAGAGCAGCACGGGCGCCGGGGGATGCGTGGGGCTCCAGGGCGGGCCGCCTCGTGGGAGGGGGCGAGCTGGCCGGACGACGACGACGACGACGACGACGACGACGACGACGACGACGACGACGACGACGACGACGGCGAGGACGACGACGACGACGACGACGGCGAGGACGACGACGACGGCGAGGACGACGACGACGGCGAGGACGACGAGGACGACGAGGACGACGACAAGGACAGTTAGCGACGACGACGACGCCAATGCCGATGCCGCTGCTTTTCGTCATCGCCACGGCTGGATTCGACTCAAAATCCTCGTCAGAGTGAACCCCGGGAGAGATGCACGGAGTAGCAGTACGGGTTATGTTATCGTATCGTTGCTTCCCTGCTGGAGCTGGCCGCGTCATCGCGCCATCGCGTCTCCAGTGTCCCCTTCCCCCATGGTTCAGTTCCACTCCAGGAGCCAGGGGGGGCAGGGAGGACGGAGGAGGATGAGGAGGCGTGGAAGCAACAGGCGGCGGAGGAGGCGGAGGGAGGAGCCAGGTTTGGGGAGGCGGGGGGGGGCCGATGGTGTTTCCTTCTTTCCCCTCGGCCATGCCCTAGTTTGGCTCTTCATCCATGCTGGTCCCGGGGCCCTTCGAGGCGGGGGTGGGGGGACCTATCTACGTGGAGCGTGTCCTTCCTCTCGTCCTCCCGTCCTCCCGGTGGGAGGAAAGAGGATGGGTTGGGGCAGCACCACAGTAGTATGGCGCTGCGCCCGGTGCAAGCCGTGGCGGGCGGCGCGGGCTGGCGAAGGCCTGCCGCGAGGGTCTGGGGGCGCATCGTCCGGGCCGGTGCGTCGTCTTGTCAGAGGAGGCCGCCGGCCCGGGTGAGACGGCGGGCTCCGACGTGGAGGTCCTCGTGTGGGCGACGGAGGAAGAGCGGGGTCGTCTTCGCCGGCATTGGCGCGTACGGCAAGGGCGCCCTCGAGGGCGCGAAGTTATTCGCGCTTCGCGGTTCAGCTCCGATTCCTCCTCATCCTTCTCTTCTCCCCTGGGAGGCGGTGCGAGAGCGCAAAGCTATTCGCACTTCGCGCTTCGCGCAGCGCGAAGCGCGAAGTTGGGAGCCCTTGGTACGCTGCCCGCGTACGGTCGCGCATAGGCGCCCTCGTATCCAGGCGTGGCGTGCCGCGCTGGCGGCCCGCGCAAGTCACCGCGCAGGGTCTCCATGCCATCTTGCGCACGGTCCGCTTTGAGGATCGTCGCTCGTGTAGCATCTTCCCTCTTCCCGCTCGTCCTCGTAAGCGGAGAGGGGGCAGAGGAGGAAAAAGGAAGGGAAGGGTGGGGAGGAGTCGGATGAGTCGTCCATGCCTAAGGGGCCCTTCTCTGCTCTGGAGCCAGCGACCTGTTCGGGTCACTCGGCAGGGATTTGGTCGACGAGCTCAAGTACGAGATGTCCGTGGACAAGGCAGAGTGCCAGGCGAGCGCCCCTGCGACGAGGTTACGATGAACATGTTGTGCCGAGCTATGTGGCCGCTATCGGCATGCTCAACTCAACTCCAATCGGGCAGCTCTCCTGAGACTGTAGATTAAGTGGGCGGCTCCCCCTGAGACGTCGAGGGGTATTGTGGCACCCGCGGATACCTGCGGACCAGCATTCGCTCCCAACGGGTGCGTGTGCGGTGCTCAGACATATCCGAGCAAGTTTCTCTGCTGACGCGCAGTCAGGCGCGGCAACTGTATGTGGTTGCATGTGTCCAAAGGTACCGAATGCGCTACCTCTGAGCACGTCGAGTGCAGTACTCGTTGCCGGCCGTTGGAAGTAGACGAGAAGCTGTGTAGCGATGCGGAGGGCGTAACCTCATCATGTCAAAGCAACTCTTGGGAGCCTCCCGGCGGTTGCATTGAGCACGCGCGTGTCCGCTTTTCGTCTTTGTCGATAGCTCGAAAACCGCAGAGGGCGTCCGCTAGCAAGACGGTTTTACCGCCCGAGGTCATGAAGACCGCACGCTTGCGTTGAATCGGATTCGATGTTGATCCAGGCAAGAAGTCCAAATTTTCATGAGCTCGGCAGATTGATGAGTTCAGCAGTTCTGAATCACTCTGTGCCTTCTAGGTGCTGGGGCTCTGAACCCTGCTGGCTGGTTCGGCCACTCGCCAAGGCCATGCAGGACAACTTGAACGAGCAGCTGGCCGTCATAGCCTCGGCCAAGACGAAGGCCATGGAGATGCTCGCGGAAACGGTGTCGAGCGTGCAGGCGGCGAGCCAGGAGTCGACCGAGAAGAACGAGGAGCGCCTGGCGCCGGCGCCGAGTCACTGCCTCTGCTGCTTCTCCTTCCCCTCCCCATTCGCTCTCGTCTTAGGTCGGGCATGTCCCCCAACAGGGGGATTTTGAATGAAAAGTTTTAGATACCCCAAAAATAATTCAAACAGATTCAGAAAATGCTAAAGGAATGCTCCCCAGATTATTTATGGATTATTTTTGGATATTTCTCCTGTAGAAGGACAGGCCCGACTTAACTCTCGTCCCTTCCCGTCACCCATCCTCCCTCGCTTCCCCTTCCCTCCGCGCCCCTCCCTCCCCGCTCATTCTCTTCCTCCTCGAGGGTGTCGCCGTGTCTGCCGGAGCTGCCCACATGGCTCGGACACGGATCCTGGGGTGCGTTCTGGCCAGAGGTCAAGGCGATTCCAGGTGTGGTGCCGAGGACCCCACAGGAGGCCCAAAAGCAATTTTCAACAAGCGTCAAATTCCTCCTCCTCTTTCCCTCTCCTCCTTCTCCTCCTCCTCCTCCTCCTACCTCCTACCTCTTACCTCCTACCTCCTCCTCCTCCTCCTCCTCCTCCTCCTCTTCCTCCTCCTCCTCCTCCTCCTCCTCCTCCTCCTCCTGCCCCACGCCACAATCTTTCGCCCGTTCCTCCTCCTCGGAGGAGGAGGAGAGTAGAAGAAGGAGGAGGAGGAAGAGAAGGAGGAGGAACAGGAGGAGGAGGAGGAGGAGCAGGATGAGGAGGGGAGGAGGAGGAGGAGGAGGAGAAGGAGGAGGAGGAGGAGGGGAGGGGAAGAGGACGAGGCAAGTTCCGCCAAGGCAAAGGGTGTGGAGGCGTGGAGTGGGCAAGCGCGCAGCAGCAACAGCTTCAGAGTGAGAAGGAGGAGGAGGAGGAGATATACGAATCGAATGCCGCAGCTCCAGCCAGTAACCAGAAGAAGGGAGGGCGCCCGAACAGAATCAATGTTTTGTTGTATAGCCTCATGACTGCGGACAGTTGAAGTAGTTGCCAAAGTTGCCAAAATACCGTCCAGAGTGTATGCTCTTACGCCAGATTCGATCATGAGTACCAGGTGCGACTTACAAGCACAGCGTAGCTGTATAATATATTCAAGAAAGTTCGTTCAAGATTCATGGCCCCCAGGGCAGACCAGGACTCGGAGAAGAAGTGCCGGGCGAGGTCGTCATCTTGGCCAGAGGCCACTTTGACGCGTGGGCAGGAAAGGCCCTCGCCAGCACTGAGCCGGGAAGTGCCCGCAGGTGTGTTTTTCATTTGGCGTCATGTCTCTGTAGTCTGTCTACCTCCAAAGTGGAAGCGAGTTTCAGTAAGGACAACCTGGACGCGTTGCATAATGAAGGTCGGCGACGATTTAGCAAGACATGGGCATTCCGCTATATTAGGGAGGCGACGTTGGGTGGCAGACTGCATCAGATAGATATCACATTTGTTTGATGTCTCAGATCTCGGAGAGGAACGCATGTAGTGGAATAGCACCAGTTCCACGACACATGGGTTGCCATACCACCAGGACGAAATTCAAGTCAAGGTGCCGCAAGAAGCATCGCTTCAAGCAAGGGCCAACCTTGCTTCTTCCAAGATCGATTCCTGGTTAAGTAAGGCTAGACGTCCAGCCACCCAACTGTTCATGTAGGTCAAGGGATTCGGCTGCACGGTGCCGTCAGGACCAACCCTTGTACCAGAGGCGAGGGAGAGAGAACGAGTGGACCCAGCAGGGGAATCGGTTTCGGCTTCGGCTCGAGTCGCGCGTGCGGGCGGGGCGGAGCTGCGCGTGGCGACGAGGACGCCTCGGCGCAGAGATGTGTAGAAGTAGCACACACGCATATACAAACATGTGCGCATATATACATGTATCTCGAGGACGCCTACGGCGAATCACCGCCGTCCCATGCCTTTTGAAATCGCCCATGTGGCCGAGCGTTGTGGAAAGAGCTCTGCCAAGCTATCGGACCATATGTTTCCCCAGCCGTTGTGGAACCCCGTCCGAGGACACTTGGGGGAGGATGGTGGGGAAGATCAGGAGGGTGATGATGATGCTGATAATGATGATAATGATGATGCTGCTGATGATGATGATGATAGTGATGATGCTGATGATGATGCTGTGGATGATGATGATGATGATGATGATGATGATGATGATGATGATGATGATGATGATGATGATGATGATGATGATGATGATGATTATGAGGAGGATGATGATGATGATGATAGTGGTAGTGGTAGTGGTAGTGATACTGATGATCATGATGATGATGATGATGATGATGATGATGGTGATGATGATGATGATGATGATGATGATGATGATGATGCTGATGATGATGATGATGATGATGAGGAGGAGGAGGAGGAGGAGGAGGAGGATGACGAGGAGGAGGAGGAGGAGGAGGAGGAGGAGGGGGCATCTTGAGAGCCTCTGGGGGCATTGTTGGGGCCTCACGGGAGCTTCCTTGGAGCATCTTGGAGGCATCCTGGGGGGCACCGTGGACCTCTCGAGCTCTTTGCCGGTCTTAATTAGGGCGTTCCTGGCCCGTCCGACGTCGTCGGAAGCCGTCTCGGGGGCTTATCGGGGCCGACTTGGGGCCCTCTTGGGGTGCTCCAGGGCCGTCTTGGAGGCTGTCTTGGGCGTCTTGGAGGCCTCTTGGGCCGTCTTGGGGCCCTCCTGAGGCCGCCTTTGGGGCCTCGTGGGCCGTCCTGGGGCCATCTTGGAGGCCTCTTGGGCGATGTTGGGGCGATCTGTGGGGGCTCTTGGGCCGTCTCGGGCCGTCGGAAAGCCAAAAAGAAACAAATGCTACAATTCTCAAAAAACCAAAGGCGCGTCAATGATTTTGGTCTCTTCGGGCCTTCCTGGAGGCACTCTTGGGAGCCTGTTGGGCCGTCCTGGAGGCCTCTTGGGGGCCTTTTGCTGACTTTTTGGGCCATTGGGGCCGTCTCGGGCGCATCTTGGGGCAATGTTGGGATCTCTTGGGGACATCTTGGGGCCATCTTGGCCGTCTTGGAAGCATCTTGAAGGCCATCTTGGGCCATCTTGGCCGTCGGAGAGGCATCTTGGAATCCATGTTGGGCCATCTTGGGCGAGAGAGGCAGTGGCATGTATTTTTTCAGGGTGGCCCGGCGCGCGGGGCCGAAGCCCCAGGGAGAGTTCTAAAAGACCAAAGCCCCACTGAAATCTGGCACGCCAGGCACCCTTGTGGCAAGCCAACAGAGGGCGGCGGATATACAGAGGAGGAGGAGGAGGAAGAAGAGGAGGAGGAAGAGGAAGAGGAGGAGGAGGAGGAGGAGGAGGAGGAGGAGGAGGATTGGAGGTGTGTGGGGATCTCGTGGGAGGCCTGGAGGCAGTTTGGAGGCCTCTTGGAGGGCGGTTGGGGGGAGTCTTTTGGACCTCTTGAGGGCCTCTTGGGGCCTCGTGGGTGTTTCTTGGCTGGATATCGTTCGGACGTGTGCACTTTTTTCTCGGCGGGGATTATTAAGGAGCATCCTGGTTCATCCTGCGAAAAAACCACGCCCGAAAGCAAAAAAAAAAACAGGGAATGGACGTCCGAGCGATGGCCAGCTTGGGGTCCTCTGGGGGCCTCTTGAGGGCTTCTTTGAGGCCTCCTGGGGCCGCCTGCGGGCCTCGCGCCGCCGAGGGCCGGCTGGGCCCCCTCCCGGAACCGTTTTGGGGGCCTCTTGGGTGTGTCGTGGAGGCGCCTCGGGCCGTCATCGGCCCTTCTGGGGGCGGTGTGTCCTCTGGGAGGCCTCTTGTGCCGTCTTGGGTCGGGCGATAGCCGGGGTATCGGCCTTGCCCCCCCTCCCCCCCCCCAGGATAACCTAACCTTACCGGTTGTGCAGGTCCGCGGGATGGGGGGCGTGGGCATATGCAGGGCTGCCCACAGCGCGAGGGTTAGGTTATCGGACGGCCCACTCCTCCCTCTCCCCCCCGCGATAACCCGGATTATCGCCGATTCAAAAAAAATATGTCTTTTAGGGCGATCTCGGGGGCCTCTGAAGCCGTCCTCGAGCGTCGGGAGGCCGAAACGGCGATCGCGCGAAAGTCCTTGGAAGTCCTGGGAGAACTAAACGGTCAGTGCATCTTGGGCGCTCTTGGGGAGGCGTCTTGGAATCCTCTTGGGAATTCTCGCGGGCATCTTGGGCCGTTTTGGGGCCACCTTGGGCGCCTTGGGCCGATCGTGCGGCGGTTCGGGGCCCCCTTGGTCCATCCTGCTCGCCTCTGCGGGCCCGTTCGCCCCGTCTTGAGGCCCTCTTGGGCCGAACACGTCACACGAGAAACCGCGGGGAGCCCCAGGGGCCCACAGGCCACGCGACACTCCCCAGAAGATCTGTGAATTTGGGGCCCGGGCTCCTTGAAAAATCTTCGGGGTTCAAAATTGAGGCTTCGGGGCTGGGCCAAGGACCCGAGGACGGTCCAACTCGTGCCTCAAGGGCACGGTGGCGGATAGATTGCGTGACGCGTGCGTGTACTCATCATGTGTCAGTGCCCGAGGGGCCTCCGCAGAGCCTCTTGGAGCTTCTGTGGGGAATTGCTGAGGAGGCCGACGGGTCCTGGAGCCCCGCGGGGGCCTGGCGAGCCCAAGGAACTGATCCGCGCGGTCTTCATCAGTTCCAACGGCGTCTTCGAGGGTCCTTGCGTCGCCTTAGAGCATTATCCGAGCCACAGTGGAGCAGCATCTGGAAGGCATCAGAGCCCCCACCCCCCCCTCGAAGAGTAGTTGTCCAGGCAGATAACAGTTTGTCTGTTCCGCAGCGGTGCCCACCCACGCGTGCGGACTTGCGTGAAGAAGCGAACTCTTTGTCGTCACGAGCGGTACATGCGTATGCGTATGCCGCAATGTAATCGTGAACGCAGTTGCGCACTGCTGGCCTTCACAATTTGAAGGCCGCGCTGTGGACAGACGCTGCCGTTCTGCATAGACTTTCGCTGTTGGCCCGTTGGGTTGGCGAATTCTGAGCGCACAGCTGCCAAGATGTCAGCACCTAGACAAGCAGCACCGATGCGGCCCTGCAACAGGAGTATCGTGAATTGGAGGAGATTTTCGAAAAGCAGATGGGCGAGTACAAATCCAAGGTCGATGAGATCCTGTTCACCAATATTTGTGCCGTGAGGAAGGCGCTGCGTTGAGGGATCGGTACATGTTTAGGAGAGTCGTGACATTCTAGCACGGTGGTGCGTTGTCGAAGCAGTGATGTTAGTGGTATGGATACCTGCGGGCCGGTACCAACGCGAGGTCTCCCAGGAAGGGCAGGGCAGGCCGATCGTGATTGGTTCTCGTCGCACCGAATACTTCACGTGATAATCCCTGCTAACGCGATGCAGTTTGCACTGTGGGGAAATGTCTGACCCACAAGTTTGTGAAACAACATCTGTCTCAGGCTTAGTGGGCCCCGGAAACGGCAGGGCCGTTTTTTCACCGTTTCCAAAAAGTGTCCCTTGAAAATGGAAACGGCAAAAAAGGCGATTGGAAACGGCAACAAAAACGGCTCCAGGATTGGAACCGGAGCCGGAACCGGTCAAACAACGGCGACGGAACCGGTAAAAAAACGGCGTCGGAACCAGCAAAAAGACGGCAGCACGGAACCAGTAAAAAAACAGCCTTGTCGTTTCCAGGGCCCACTAAGGTCTCAGGTATATACCTCACGCGTCGCTATGCCGCATTAGTCGGCGAGGGAATGGAGCTTGGCATCTCGATCACTGTGATCGGATGACTGTTCGATCGAAGGCAGGGCGCAATCGTGAGTCAGAGTGATTTTGGCCGCTGTTCCATGTCAAGCCAGAGCAGATCCCACAAGGTTACAGTCGGGGCCCTGAAGAAGGAACCCTTTTCGTTGGGGAGGGGCTCCGCGTTCCTTACGTGTTTCGCAGCTTGCCTCAGGTTCGCCTTAGGTTTTCGAAGGGAAATCGAAGTTCAACTTCTGGAGAAAAGGGGCCTCGTTCCTTATTTAGGGTTCCTTAGGTCAGCGCCCCGACTGTATCGAATCATGGGTTCGCATTGAGGAGATTCTGAAAATGCAGAGCCCAAAGGTGCGGGATGGGCTCATGATGAACAGCGAAGTCTCGCCGCCGGAGAAGATCGAAGATTGCGACGTTGAGGATTGGTCTCCCGGCGAATGTTCTGTTGCTTGTGACGATGAATGCCCAAGTCCAGATCCATCGGCATGCGGAGGCGCTGGGGAGGGCCAACCTCCGCCCACCACAATTCATGACCTCCCTGTTGTCATCCGAATCCTCTGTCCTGCTCCCAGCTGGAGGCAACGGGTAGACGCATGAATCACGCTCGAGGCCTTGTATCCCGCCGACCCAGACGCAGAAAGTTGCGCAGGGCCAGCATGCCGACATACAGATGTTACATATCACACCGAGTTGATTGCATCATCACACTCGCTCGCTGGAGCAGACAAGAATCCAACTGACCATAACGTTCCAGAAATGTGCAGTCGCACTGGCTAGCTGAACGCATTCGCGTGTTTCCCACCTTGTGTCGCATGATTGCTTGTTGTCTGCGGTATGCGCTCTGAAGGGAGACCAGCGACATAGTGTGTACCCCATGTCATATAAGATTGTCTTGTTCGACCTTCAAGTCTGACCCGAAGTCTGAAGTAACCCTGTGCGTTGCAGTTCGATCTAGAGCCTGGTGCTATGATCCCCGACGCTGCCGATGCATCGCCGAGGCATCGGAAATGCGGTGTGCTCCCCCGGCCCCGCCTTCCCTCCAGCCCGTTTCAGGCGGGGCCATTAGTTTGTATGCTGCGTCGCCTTCGAGTTGGTTTCTTGCTGCGCGTGCTGCTGCGTGGTCGTGGAGCCCAATGCGCGTGCAGACGGGGGTACGGTCTCGGGCGCACCGTCTCGGCAATGAATTCGTGGGGGGCGGGTCGGGAGAGGCGCGAGGCGCGTCGGAGAGTTTTGTTCTCGGATATACATACACATTGTTCATTTCTGATTATTCGAAAGGTCTTCGCTGTTTTGGGGGGCCAAGATCTTTTCATTCATAATTGTTCTAGCCTGGGCCTCTTTCTGGCCACTAGGGGGCCAGGAACAATTAGAAACGAGCACAATTAGAAATGAGCACGATTAGAAATGAACGACGTGTATAAATAACAATACATATGTATATCCCATCAAATTCGCATGCTGACTCATACCGTAGCCGTTTTTATTCAAGCCGTTTTGGCTCAAGCATTCGTACACCGAGCATCCCGCGTACGCCGCCATTCCGACCGACGTGCTGGTGTTTCACGCCATGGCGAGTTCGGTGTTGTGCGCCGCCACCGTCGCGCAGGGCGCAATGGCCGCGAGCGAGGCATGCGATTGTCCGGACGAGACGGGCCTTCTGCACGCCAAGGCGAGTTTCATCAAAGATGCCAAGCAGAACAGAAACACTGAGCCCACATTTTTGAGCCTTGATCCGCAGGTGATGCGGTGGGATTCGGAGTACCCCGTGTCCATATCCGCAAGTGATTCCATTACTATCAGAGCTGGCTGGTTGAACGTGTTGTTCTTCTACGATGAAATGCTGTCGAAGTACGCGCCGCCACCTCGCGTATGCCTTCGCGCGGGGGGCATCCCGGCGACCCAGCAGCCGGCAGTGCACGGGCCTTTGCTGTCCCATTGCGGCCGGCCATCATCGTCTTGCCGATCATTTTGTCGGCAACGTACGCCAGTCTTTCAATTTTCTGGGTATCAACCAAATGGGCATGAACCTTTATGCTGGCGTAAACGAGAGCGCCAGAGGGGATGTCCGCCGTGCCCTTTCAAGCAGGATGACTGAGATCCCGTGAAGGAGTTCTTTTGCTGCCGCCTGCGACGAGGTCGAGCGCAAGAAGATGGAGTTGTGTGGCGACGACATCGCGTGTTGATCGGTGGTGATTTGCATTGGATTCGAGGAGTGGTTCACCCAGGTCCTACGAGGCTACACCGAGAACGCCACTGCCAAAATGTCCATCGCCCTGTTCGACAGCCTCTGGTGGCTGTCCGAGAGCCGCGCGCGCTGGAGCTATCGCATTGCGCAGTTGAACCACAACCTTTGTTTCGTCGCTGACCGCTTCCAATAGCAGGCGTCTGACGGAAGGTCGTACAACGTTTTCAACCAATCACATGGGCACGGCGCACCTCACCCACGGTCTGGACCGCCTTCGGCGCGCACTCGGCCCGGACAAGCTCAGCACCCGTGGATCCTCGTACGATGCGTCCGCGGGCTCCGCGCACAGGGCCCTGTACCTTGAGAGAGCCCACGGGCTCCTCCTGAACGGCGCCATAAGCCCCGAGCCAGATGGTTTCAAACAAGTAGACATCCAGGCGCGATGGGGAGTTCGCTGCGCGGAACGGCCTGGCTTAAGCGCGTGACAATTCCGCCCAGCAGGGATTGCCAGTCCAGAATCGGTGCCCTCGAGCGCCCGCCAGCACGATCAATCTGTGCGGCCTGATCCTCTCGGGCGAGGAGATCAGAGCGGAGGCCCACAGGCTCGCTTGGGGCGCGGTCTGTTACCCCCGCCCAGGTCAAGGCATCCACCCCGCGGTCGCCATGGAGAACCTCTCGCCTCTCCTCGAGTTTGCTGGCTCTCCCGCGCTCGCGCAGACCTCGGCGGCCGCGGTCGGCATCTTGTCCGACATGATGTCCGACAGTTGGCAGGCCGCCGTGCGCGGGCTCGACACCGCTGATCGCCTCAGCGAGGAGGGTTTGATCGACTGGTGGCAGCGATCAATCAGCATCTACTCTATCGGCCTCATGCGCGGCCTGTTCTACGCTATCGGCACCTGGCAGGCGATCCCCCGCCCCGCGCCGCCGATGTAAGAGACGACCATCAGGCCGCTCATAGTGGGGGACCTCTGGAATGCCAGCACTGCTCGCGTCAACGCGCAGGACATGGCGCAGATTTCCCTCGCGGCGCCATCATGACTTAGCAGGGCTACGGCCACTGCGTGCAGGCGCCGACGAATGCCACGCAGGTCGCAGAGAACGTCGAGAAGAAGTTGCGGCGCGGCCAGGTGATCCAGCGCACGGAGGAGGAAAGCAATTTCATTTGCACGCGGAAAGCTCGGGACTTGGACTGATTGGATACGGGCAAGCACCCAAAGAAAGGCTGCCTGTGCCCGCCCCCTGGCCCAGCCCCACTGGGCCCCGACGCAGTGACCAGTGCCGAGGCGGCATTGTAGGGCGTTGTTGGCGAGGGCATCATGGTTTCTTATCTTCAGCCGCGCATTAACATAACATAACCAAAGAGTCTGTCTGTTCGCGACCTGCTCGCAGAACCGCGCGGCCCTGGATCAGAGCAGGAACAGGGTAATTGCCTCTTCGGGGTGGCGCCGTCCCCAGCAGCCTCCGAAACCCCGTGCCAGTGCATTCGGTGGACTGCTTCAGCGTTGGCTCTTTAGGTCGGTAATGCGACCTGGCCGCGGTGGCACGCTTTTGTCGAGCGCGCGGCTACCCCTTTGGTTCGCGCCGGCGGGCGCCCTGACCGGCCAGCCGCAGGGCCGCGATGACGACGGTTTGCGGATTCGCCTTGCTCTGGACGCTGCGCGGCGCCGACGTGGCCCCATCAGAGAGACTATTGTTGCTGTCTTTCGAATGACAATATTTGTTGTTTATACATATTACAAAAAAAAGAAAAATAAAAAAGACATGCTGGCGCATTCAGATTTACTGCACGGTTGCAGCAGGCACTTGATGTTCAATGCGCGTTGGTTCCAGGCTCCTCTGCCCCACCCCCCTCCCACGCGAGTAGATGGATGGGAATCGAACGGTGAAACAGACAATGGACGGATGACAAGAAGATCGTTATCACTACAGCGCCCCATCGCATTAGTGTTATTGCGGGCGCGTCATTGCCACAGGTTGGTGATGTTGGGTTTTCCCAGACGAAAGACGTCGTGCTTTTCGTATTGACGGGCCCCTCGGCGTGACATTTCACGCTGAGAGAACGATTGGGCCATCTTCGGTTGCCACACGGAACCCTATCTGTGACTCTCTGCATCGCGAGCCGAGTTGCTTTGGCAGGCTTTCCACCAAGAGGAAGGGAGAGGATGGAGAAGGAAGATGAGCAACACTCATTCGACGTCGGGGCAATGTCGGCTCCTGCTGGCAAAGTCGAAAGCTGGAGCATATACACTACCAGCGGTGGGCCGTTTTTCAATCCCAATTCCGTTTGACTGGGTCGGGGACGACGTCGGGGTGGCGCGGTGTATATTTGTTTCCCCGCTTTCCCCGGGAAGCAATGACAAGTGTGTACACCAGGATCCCGTATGCACCAGGATTCGCTTTTGCGAATTCCAGTGCGCGGCTGGGAAAAAAGCGTCGGTGTATAGAGTTCGCTTCCTTATAACAAATTGAACATTAACACGCGCGCACACATCTATATACATATGTATATATATACATATATATACACACTTGTGCATATATATATATATATATATATATGTATATACACACACAAGTCTACAGTGGCGTTTCGCGCCATGCACCTTGGCCCTTGAAGTTTGGCATGCAGGCGAAATAGCAGGAAAGTCAAGCCGACAATTTCGCGCTAGCTCCTTGTTGCCTTTTTCCGGCATCGCCGCTATAATAATGTTATTCGTTATCCTTTCTCCATGCTTCTGTTTCCTCATTTTCGCCGTACCCTGCGCACACTCCCCATCCTCCTCAGCTCTTTTTTGCGGAGGCTCCTCCTTGGAGAGCCTCTGGAGGCCTCACAAAAGTTGTTTCAGGCTTTCCTAAGGCCTTATGGAGGCCTCCTGCGTATTCTGGGGGCCTCCGGGGGCTTCCTCGGGCCACCCTGCCTCCAACCGCGGTCTCCCTGAACGACTGGGTCACGATTCGGAATGCTTCGGAGGGTGTCTTTGGGCCATCTTGGGCCGTCATGGGGCTCTTTGAGGGCCATCTTGGACCCGTGTTGTGCCGTTTTGGGGCTCTTTTGGATTGCCTGGAAGCCCTTTCGGATGGTTGTGGGGCGATTTTGGAGCCCCCCAGGCGGCTTCGAACGCCCAGAAGACCGCCGTCTTGGAGCGTCGGGAAGCCGAATAGAGGAGAACCGCAGACTTCACCAACAACCAACAGAAAATCAATGATTTTTGCCTCGGGGGGCCTTCTTCGGAGTGCTCTTGGAGGCCTCTTTGGGGCCGTCCTGAAGGCCTCTTGGGCCATCTTGAGGTCACGTCGGTCACTCTTGG